AAACATAATTAACAAATCGTAACAACACTTACGATATATATCTCAAGAATTAAATTATTGATGGCATTAAATCCCTTCCAACCCATTATCTTATTTATAAATTCTATAATAAATATATTAATATTTACAAAATTTATATTATTGATATATTAATAGGAAAGTCATTACCGGCTCTACCGGTGGCACAGGCGTAGAAAAGCCAACAAAATCCCGATAAATAAAACACTTTATGAACCAATAGATAGACGTGTAATTCGTATCCATTGAGTCGAGTGTATCGATAGCTGAAGTGCAAGAAGTCTTTATTCCACCAACAGATCCCAAATGTCATCAAAAATGTGACCAAACATATGATCGTCTCTCCTATCCGTCCGCCTAAATATGCCTTCGGGTGCCGACGGATAGCATAAGCCATGAGAATACCGATGATATAAGTCTGAATGTATGGCAGAGATGACCAGTAATGATGACTCCAGGCCTTGATATTGTCGGACACAATATCAGCGGCAAAGCCTTCATAGATATGAGGAGCTAAGAGACCGANAGATATGAGGAGCTAAGAGACCGAAGCGAAGAATGAGAGGAATGGATATTCCGATCGCCAATAGGAAGACATTCCAGAGAACACCAAATCTGGGCATTTTGTAGAGCGCGAGGAATGCCAACGGAGACATTGCATAGAGTTGGAAGTCGGCTGAGGTATACCTTGGTAGTTTTTAGAATATTAATTATTAATACAATACACACATCTATGTTATTATTACGCATTGATTACATACCAACTAATAATAAGACACTTGTTGTTATAAGTGTATGATTTCTGGGATTAATTTTTAATTTATTTAAGGTTTTAATTAAATTAATTGTGACAATTTAATTTGATAAATATATCAATATATTTTAAGTTTTAATATTTTCGAAATATGAATTTTTGTTAAACTCAAAGTTAAATATAAGTATTACCATTAATGAAAATCAATTTAAACTTTTTAATATTTTTTATTTATTTTAAATTATACATTTAAGTACATTTTCAATATATTTTAAATTAAAGTTTAAATTAAAATTAATCCCAGAAATCATACACTTATAACAACAGACACTTTTTCGACAGCGAGTGTAACAATTATACAAACAGTTAAAATAATCAATTATTTAAAATCATTTATATTCTTTACATACATTTACTGGTGAAGACACGTTACTATTTGTGTGCTGATAATGATTAAGATTACTTATCATCAACAATGGTTTGTACCACCTATCGTAACATGGTTCGGCCATGAACATTTTAAGATTGGGCCAAAATGGTCCTATGTCAGACAATTACATTTAATGTTATGCTATACTGTATACATTTTATATTATAGTGTATATAGTAGACACTATACCATCGCCCATGAGATCAAATATGAATGATATCAGAACCCCTGTCGCCAGCATTGGAAATAAACGCATATACCTTTTAGAATAATTAATTTGATTATTAATTTAAATAGGTGAGAGAGAGAGAGAGAGAGAGA